AAGGATGTAAAGCTTTACGAGAACTTAGCATACACACTTGGATGGAGAGGAGAAATAACAGTACTCAAGACATCAGATCAGGGACTCGATTTACCTGATTTAGTTCCCTATAAAGAGTTGTGCATCCATCTTGATCAGATCAGTACGACGGATAATATTCAACAAGAAAGTCCTTCACCTCTACTCAGATGTGTTCCAGTTAAAGATGAAAAATACAATAGTGGTAGAACGGAATCTTTCTCAACATTACAATATAAAAAATTAAAGCGGGATATTATTTCAGACCTCAAAATTTCTGTATTAGATGTAAAACACCAACCTGTACATATAGGATACTTAAGTGTAACACTCCATATTATAAATAATGGTTGATTCCATATTTAAGTTATGATATGATATAGTATCATTGTATATTTGATATGTATGTTACACTCCTCGGAATAACAAATGGTCAGTCTATTCAACTGCTTCGTACTATCGATAACTCGGATGGACAACTCGAAGTCGCTCTATGCGATGTAACGTATTACCCACGGTGGACCAATATAAATGCTGCGAGGGGTTATAATAATGAGACAGAAATAAATGGTGAAAAATACATTATACCTGATGGGTATTACAGCGTATGCTCGCTCAATGATGAATTTTTTAAGCCTAATGGAGTTAGTCTAACACAAAATGAGTCGAATGGGTTACTGATTTTAAACGCTGGAAAAAAGGATGTAAAGCTTTACGAGAACTTAGCATACACACTTGGATGGAGAGGAGAAATAACAGTACTCAAGACATCAGATCAGGGACTCGATTTACCTGATTTAGTTCCCTATAAAGAGTTGTGCATCCATCTTGATCAGATCAGTACGACGGATAATATTCAACAAGAAAGTCCTTCACCTCTACTCAGATGTGTTCCAGTTAAAGATGAAAAATACAATAGTGGTAGAACGGAATCTTTCTCAACATTACAATATAAAAAATTAAAGCGGGATATTATTTCAGACCTCAAAATTTCTGTATTAGATGTAAAACACCAACCTGTACATATAGGATACTTAAGTGTAACACTCCATATTATAAATAATGGTTGATTCCATATTTAAGTTATGATATGATATAGTATCATTGTATATTTGATATGTATGTTACACTCCTCGGAATAACAAATGGTCAGTCTATTCAACTGCTTCGTACTATCGATAACTCGGATGGACAACTCGAAGTCGCTCTATGCGATGTAACGTATTACCCGCTGTGAACCAATATAAATGCTACAAAAGATAATAATAGGATAATGCTATTAAATTCATCTGGTACTGGCAAATCCATTACTATACCTGATGGGTATTACAGCGTAAGCTCACTCAATGATGAAATTTTTAAGCCTAATGGAGTTAGTCTAACACAAAATGAGGCGACTGGGACAGTGAAATTCAACAATGGAAATACAAATATACTTTTATTTGACCTATCAGCTACACTTGGATTTACACGCTTAATTGGCACAATATACAAGTTACCAGATCAGGAGGTTAAATTACCTGATTTAGTTCCCTATAAAGAGTTGTGTATCCATCTTGATCAAATCAGTACGACAAATAATATTCAACTAGAAAGTCCTTCAACTCTGCTCAGATCTGTTCCAGTGAAAAATGAAAAATATAATAGCGGTAGAACAGAATCTTTCTCATCATTACAATATAAAAAATTAAAGCGTGGTATTATTTCAGACCTCAAAATTTCTGTATTAGATGTAAAACACCAACCTGTACATATAGGATACTTAAGTGTAACACTCCATATTAAAAATAATGGTTGATGCATCAGGCCCTGGAACGCTCAGACAATGTAATACAATTGTGCTTTCCGATTTCGGAGACACAGAAGGATTTGATAAACCCGGTAGCAATGGTAAGTTATACGCTTTACACTTACACGATAATGTATACAAGCCCAAAGAAGTTACATTCACGGGTAATCTAGAAGATTTAAGCGATGTCGACGTTAGTAGACTCATTAAAAACACTTCGTACAATATTATTCGCAACGACGATAATAAATGGACTATGGTCGACGCAAACATCGAGTGGCTACTGAATATCGTCATTACCCCACCGTATGCGATGATGGGTAAGGGTAATTATACTAAGATAATAAATAGTGGCATCGTACTCGCGGCTTATATCCCATCAAAACGAAAAAGTGTGTTAGTTACCCCCCTGCCAGAAAACCCAGGTCATATGTTATATAGTCGTCCGGCCTTAAAAAATTTTACTTTAAATTTGGTTACTGAATTCGAAGATATTAAACAGAACATGAGTGCAGTACCTAATATTTCCACGCTTATTATTGAAGTCTTGTTCGGAGATGTACCGGAAGATGCCTTCGAAATATTACCAGGTCTATCGATTAAATGGCTCAAGAAACACGAGCGTCGACGTTGTAGTATTATTCATATCGGAGCATCGCCCGTTGCAACCCTCGAGGGGGTTCAAATTATTAAAAGTGGTAGTATTTCTCTTACTAAGATATTCTTGCCGTATAATATACATTTGATAAGGTTGATGTATAGTCTCAAAACATTTAAGCAAGACCAATTAAAGACTATTACATGGTCGTATTATACACTATGAGTTTATATCCAGCCCTCGATGAAGCAATTGAAAAGATGGAAACTGTTGATGGATTTCGATTACATCAAATAAGCGACATAAAACATCGAATAGAGAAGGATAGGGAGTTGGGACTTGGATTGTATAAAAAATATCGCAGAGCCGTGAATGCTCTGGACGGAGTTGACACCGCACTTGTAGCAGCTGGCATGGGACTCGGTGTAGCGGGTGTCGGTTTATTATCATCTATAATCGCCGCGCCTATTGTGCTCGGCATGGAAATAGCCGCTGGAGTCTCGGGACTGGCAGGAATAGCGATAAAATTCATTTCTCGTAGGTTACAAAAGAAAGCATTAAAACACGATAGTATTCGGATACTCGCCGAAGCAAAGTTGAACAGCATTGAGGATCATATTTCGACAGCAATGGTCGATTGTAAGATATCCGAGGATGAGTTTCGTTTAGTGCTGTCAGAACTCACCAAAATACAATGAAATGAAGCAGGAGATTCGATCAAAATCTCATAAGACCAGTGGTATTAGTGAAGACGAGAAAAAAAAGTTCATAGAACAGGGGAGGCAACAAGCGCGTCAATTATTCCGTGCCAAAACCAAAGAACTGGTTGGAGATTAAAAATAGATTGCTTACTATCGTTTGATCACATTTAGACAAATGCTTACATACATATATAATAATGGAGAATTACAACACAACAATCGAAAAAGCTATTAAATGGAGAGAATTACCACAAGGTTTTTATTATATCAGTGATGTCAAACCAACCAAATACGGTTATCAATTGTTTCTTATCAATTTACAAGAAGAGTGTAGTTATATAGTCTGGTCTCCTAGTAAAATGAACGAAGAACTTAATAAAAATGTTGAATATCGCTTTATCGATAAAAATAATGAAGAATATTTTTATTACCATTTAGGCTCATCTAAAGCAATGATTGGCCCCAGGTATTGGTGAGCTAGACCCAATTTAACTTAATCTTATGACTATCATTGAATCGCATCATCATTTTTGCATAAAAAATGCCACCTGTAGTAGCAGTATAGCTATATGAATCCGGCTCCAGTGGAAGTGGTCCAGAACCCCCATTACCTATACTACTCCTCCGCTATTTCAACTATCAGTGTAGTAATATTTCCATTGGAGATATCAATATCATCATTGATCAAGTCAAGAGTGATATGTTCCCCACATAAAGAGGAAATTTCAACCAAATTAGCCTTTACATGACCATAGAGGTTTCACCTGAATTTCTGGGAATTGATCACTGCCAAGATTATCATCTTGGAAAACATGCCAGTTACATCTATCTGCCAATGTGGAGGTCGGAAGGAGAATAGGTCCATGGGTTTCAAGACTTTGAGCGCTTATAGTTAGGAAGACAAGAGCTTTATCTATCATGACCGTTTGAGGGGAACTAGAATAGAAGTTGGAACCAAAGGAATAGTCAGTTGGTGCTAATGTAGTTAATCATGCTTGATCCATGACCTGATTCATAACCTCACTCATAACCTCACCCATGCCCTCATATATACAGAGCAGATACAAGAACAACCAGGGCCAGCATTTGGAACAGAGGGTGGTTTCGGAGCACTTGTGTCTACCTCAGTTACCATTGTTACAGGTGAATCAAAGGACAAGACAGGCTAGTTTTACACTGAGTAAATCGCCCCTCTTGGAAAGGAATCCCCTCTTTCCCATGTACCATGTTTACGCAAATCTCATTAAAATCAGTCCTTAGTTCTCGCAAACCGCTAAACAAAGATCTGAAGACATCCCATTAGGGGTCACGTCAGAACAATCTTTCATCCCACCAATCAGAGCATCACTTACCAGATTATGAAAGTGACAGTTGCAATGTGCTTCTAATCATGCAACCTCGAACTCTTTAACACGCTGTATTCAGAACGATAGTTAGGGGTTTAACAACTGAATCCATACAACCTAGACCATCTATTAGCCTTACCAGAATGTTCTTTTGTTCAGGTTTCAAATATGTAATCGCGAATTTGTCAAAATATGTTTCGAAGCATAGACGCCAATTTGAAATTAGTGCCGTACATCACAAGAAAGCTGCCTTCTGATTGGTCATCGCTCGTTAGATACATTTTGAATCAACTCGTAAGATCAATGGTATCTGACAGACACTCGTGTAGTAATCTCTATGTAACAGCCTAAAGTAACTACACACTGCAAGCAAAACCACTTTGTTGTGGGAGATAACCATGGATGACGAACAACAGAACATGACCGCCTCAAGATTAACAAAGGACGATGGACAAAGAGGCCATGACTGATGCTTACCTTACTTTCTGTCAGGTGTGCTAATAAAAGCAATTAAGCACAGCTTTTACATTTGTAAAGCCTGGACCTACCTCTTGCCTACCCTGTTCAGCTTTGATAGTTGCTTCCATTGCAAAGTGGAAGGCAGCCAATGCTTGAGCCTCCTGTCGTCTACTGAACAACAAAGGAATGAGGTGTTTTAGCCAAATTTTGTCTCGACCTTGTTTGTGTGTAAGATCACTCTGAGCAAATACAGATGGTTTGTTGCTATTGATAAAGGGCAAGACAAGGTCCAGAGTGCCAGATTTCAGTACAGCTGCTTCCAGCTCTTTGTTGGCGACCAAGGCAGAGATTGCTAGACATGCATAGTATCTCACACTGTTGTCTTGATTGAAGGCAAGAGGAAACAGCCATTCAGGAACACGTCTTTTTGCCATTTCCTCTTGATTTTCAGCACCCCCAAAGAGAGATAAGTTTGCAAGTGCTTTGGCACATCTTCTCAAAATTTGATTGTCACTACAACGGCACCAATGTAGAATGACATCAAGTCCTCCAAGAGTAATCACTTTACAGCAGGTGTCTTCAGACAGTTTGAACAGATTTTCCAGAATACCTGTTGTAGCTTTGGCTATAATATTGTCTCCAACAGCAGACTTTGTCATTTTGACAATAATAATTAAACCAATTTTGGCAACTCGTTCTCTGTTCTTGGTGGACATCACCTGTTCCAGCAGGTTGGCTGAAGCAGAAAGGAGATCCCTCGCAGGAGAGGCACAATTGTATACTAGTCTATCCAGCAGGCCCTCCATACGTATTATATCACAAAGCCCATATGCTAGATCACGACCATACACAGGGGTGTCCCATGCCTCCTTCACTACATCTAAAATTTGAACTAAAATGGCACACTGGGTACATAGATCACAACTTTTCAAATCATTAATATAGCCCTCCAGTTTCTGTGACAGCGTCTGATAACTCAGCTTGAGATTGTGGCGGTAATTGTTCAAAGATGATCCATGTGGAAAGCGAAGAGGATACTTGGCATAGAAAGACCCACCATTTCCAAACTCATCACTATCTGGTGATGCTGGAACAAATGTATCACTGCCACAAGTGAGCAGCAGCCTGTCTTGGTAAATCTCTCCCTGGACTGTGTCATCTTCAGCCTCTTGGAGAATAGGTTCTAAAGCTGGGGTGAGTTTCAAACGTATCTTTAAGTCCTTGCTCTCAACAAATTGCTTTTCTGGTCCAACCTCTGACAGATTGAAGTACACCTTAGAGCTTTCGGATACTCTCCCTTCTTTATCATTTTTTTCTTCTGCACTATCTGCTGACAATGACACTTCAAGGGTGCGCTTTTTCACTGCCACTTTTGGAATACCGAGGATTGCATCAGACTGAGAACGTTCAAGTGTTTGAGTTGGGTCAAATACTTTTGTGCCTTTCTCCCCTGTCCCTGTTCTCTGACCACCACTATTTGAGGAGGTCATTATGTATCTTGAAAAATGTATACCAGTACACAACTTCTGGACTACGTCAGTTTAACCCTCTATTGCATTCTTGAAGAGCTGAAAGGAGAACAAATAATTCGATAGTATACAGTGGTTTCATGTATATCTCCTACTTTTTGGTAAACAATATTTGGTTCCCTGAGGGAAACATTACATGAGTTATCAACCTATTCTTTTTGGTTACTTTTTATTATCTCATTAATATTCATCAATTTCAGCAACACACATTTACGTAAGGACATGTTTATGATATGCATTTAATCTGTACTTTGATAACAAGTAATATTGTTCAGTTTTATTATCATCACTTGCCTACAACATGATTTGATTGATTATTAAAAAATTATTGACACATTAATTATCTTAAAATATTATTTCTCTTAATCCATCCATATTTGTTCAAGTTATCCTACAGGAAGCAGTCTCTGACCAGTTTCACTCACTGCCATGTGAAATCTGACCTTGTCAATTTGGTTGACTTTCCAACTTGATTAAGGAACTATATACATAACCAATTTGGGTCAATTCTATCAGCATCACATTCTGTTGAGCCTCAATCTTTCAGATCTTTTGGGTATCAGTCTCTGTCATTTCCTAAATCAGTAAAATTCATAACATCCCACCAAGGACTTCCATTCTGAAGACAACTTCCATTTGATGAAACACTCGTCTACTACATAAAAAACTCTAATGAGAAAGTACCATCAGTCTGGCCAGCTAAATTAGGCAGCAAATTAAACAATGCACCAGGCCCTTCCAGTTTACCTGTCTCAATAAGAAAGTGCTATCTGGTCTGATGATGTCTGGGTGGAAATAGGCGTTGAATTGGAGTAAAAGATAATAATACTATCATGGAACTGTTCTGGGTGAACAATACCTTTCAAATGGCGTGCTGGTTTTCTTGGGGAATTAGTCAGCAAAGAGCCAGAGTCACAGGAGACTAATCACAATTTATTTACATGAACAATTAACAATTTACAATATACTTAGAAAATAACTGAGGGTGCCACAGAGAGTCGGTACACACTCTGGGCTGTGGGAGAGAGGTCTGCTTGGTAAGAGAGTCAAACCCCTTCTCTGCTAAAACTTACTTACTTACTTACTTACTTTGGAGATTTAACGTGCGCTTTCCGACTGATGCGTATTTCGCACACGGGCCCGGCCAGGCCATTTAATGTGTTTCCGAAAGGGGTAAAAGTGGTCTGTGCAACCCAAGAGGGGGGTTTTAGGGGTTGCTTATATAGAATTTGGGAATTTTGAGATTTGGAATAGATGCCGATGGGATTGGGGAGGAGAACTAAGGGAGCTGGGTATGGTGGATGTTTGTTTGTTTATGTGATTTTGATTTGGTCGGTTATTGTGTTTTTAGATGCGTTTTATTAGTTCCGTTTTTATTAAGAATACGCCTAAGGCCTTGAAGTTTTCTAGTTTATTTTGTGGGTTTAGTATTGCTTCTGAGTTAGAGCGTTGTTTAGATTGAGGGTTGTTTGTAATGCGGTTCGATGTGTTAGGTAGTGTGTGCAGTGGATGAGTGCGTGTTCTGGGGTTTCTGGTTGTTTGCAGTGTGGGCAGTTACCTGTAGTGTGTTTTTAAAAAATATTTAGGTGGTTATTTAGGTTGGTGTGTCCTGTTTGGAGTTAAGTGATTACTCTGTCGATTCTTTTGGATGGATGGAGAATTTTGGGTTTGGTTAGTGGTTTGCTGAGCACTTTTTTGATTTGGCTATTTGAGTTAAGATATAGGTTATGCCATTTTTGTGATTTTTTGCTTGTTTACACTTTTAATTTCTGATTTTGAGATGGGTAAGTTTAAGCTTATTTCTGGGATTTTGAGGGATAGTTTAGCTGCTTTATCGGCGTTTTCATTACCGTATATTCCTACGTGGGCGGGTATCCACAAGAAGGGTTATTTGTTTTCCTGCCTTAGTTAGGTCGTTGGAGCTTTTAAGTATTTGATTTATTAATTTAGGTCGGATTTTGGTATTTTTGTTTTGGAGGGCTTGCAGTTCACTTAGGGAGTCGGTAAGTATTAGGATTTTTTTGTGTTTTTTGGATTCTTGATTATGGAGGGCTGAGGCCATGCCCATTAGTTCTGCCGTGAATATTGATTGGTTGTTTGGGAGTCAGAAGGATTGTGTGGTTTTAGTTGGTTGTGTGGTATGGACTCCGAAACCTGTGTGTTTGGAGGTCGGATCTGAGGATCCGTCCGTGTAAATGTGACACCAATTTGGCCAATTTTCGGGTCGGTTTGTTTATTTATTTGGCTAGCTAGTGTTGTGTCTATTTTGGGTATTTTAAGTTTAGGGGTGAAGATATTTGATTGTTTGCAGTTTTGTTTAAGATTTTTAATTTGGTGTTCATTTAGGTAGTTTGTTATTCTTTGGGATATTGGGGTAAGTAAGGGGTGTTTACGAGCTACAGCTTGGTTTTTGGGGCTGATGTTTTGGTTTATTAAGTTTTGGATGAGAGGGTTTGATTGGGACGCGGCCCAGAAATTTAAGCTTAGCTGTTCCCTGCGTAGACTTAGTGGCATTTCTCCTGTTAAGGCCTGAAGTGAGGTGTAGGAGGTGCCATGTTGGCTGCGTGTAATTAGTTTGAGAGCCTGAGTTTGTATTGAGTCAAGTTTTTTAGATACAGAGTTGTTTAGGGTGTTGTATATGGCACAGCCATATTCTAGTTTTGATCTAATTAGTGATATGTAGAGAGAGAGGAGGGTATCTTTGGATGCTCCCCAGTTAGAGCCAGTTAGGCATCTTAGGGTGTTTAGGTCTTTACTGCATTTAGTTGTTAGGTTTTGGATGTGAGCATCCCAGGTGAGATGTTCATCGAAAATAAGTCCTAAGAATTTGGTTTGTTTTTGAAATTTGATTGTTTGATTGTTTAGCTGGAGGATTGGGGAGGCGGGTTTCATGTTTTTATGATTGAATACTATTCCTGTTGTTTTTTTCTGAGTTAAGGGAGAAGCCCCATTTGTCAGCCCATTGTTGTATTTTATTAAGAGATTTTTGGAGTAAATTTTGGACCATGTTCATGCTTTTAGTGCGGATCCAGATGGTTCCATCATCCGCAAATTTTGATGTGTTTACTTTAGGGGATAGGCCCTTGAATAGATCGTTTATCATTATATTGAAGAGGGTGGGGCTGAGGATACTGCCCTGTGGAGTACCATTTTCTAGGGGACATTGGTCCGATTGAGTTTGGTCTATACTCACGGTTATTTTACGATTGTTTAGGAAGTTCTGGATGTAGTTTATTATCTGACCTTTGAGTCCTATTTTTTTAAGTTTTTGTATTAGCCCATCGTGCCATACCATGTCGAAAGCTTTAGAGAAGTCTAAGAAGATGCCTGTGGTATATTGTTTATTTAGTTGTCCTGTCTTAATATCTTGTTCTAGTCGGGCGAGGTTATCTAGGGTTGAGCGGCCAGGAGTGAAACCGCTTTGATCTGGGTTTATGATGTTAGTTTGGGTTAAGTAATGTTGTAATCTATTTTTAGCCATTGATTCCATTACTTTACATAAGTTTGAAGTTAGGGATATTGGTCTATATGAGTTAGCTTGATTAGCTGGTTTATTAGGTTTAGGGATTGGTATGACTAGGGCCTGTTTCCAGGGAGTAGGAACCTGTCCGTTTAGGTAGATGAGATTGTATAGTTTGAGTAGTGCCTGGAGTAGTTTTAGGGGGAGTTTTTTAATTATTTGGTAAGAAGTTAGGTCTAATCCTGGGGCTGTGCCCTTTTTCCTGTTTTGGATTACGTAGAGGAGCTCCTCCATTGTGTAGGGTTGATTTATTTCTAGATTGTTCTTTTGTGGGTTTGTTTTCTGTTTTAAGTTTATCTTGGTAAAACTTAGCTACAGTATGTATTTAACAAAAATTTGAACAATAAAAGGAATAGGATTGGTTGATACACGATTGGTTGTGCCCTATGCTAAATGGATGGCTTAGACAGAGAGGAATATTTAATCCTGTTAATCCTGTTGGACTGGCACTAATCTTGTTGACATATTTACTGGATGCTTTGGAAAGAGATTATGGTGTCACTATAGACGAGGTTGTGTTGGGGCTAATCTTTAATGCACTATAAACAAGCTTGTATGGGGGCTATTCCTTAATGCACTATAGACGAGTTTGTATGGGGGCTAATCCTTAATGAGTCTAAATTGCTGAATGTTATTCTTATATAGGTGATGACAGATTTACTTAAATAAAATAGTTCAAGGTAATCTATAAGACTATGTAGACATATCTTTTGTCTGGGAGATGGGATCTTGATACCTTAGGCTAGCATTTATCTAAGAGCTTCAAATCTATTAAACTATGTAGACGTAACTCTTGTCTTATTGAATAGTATCTCTAGATGCGCTCCCATTACCTTAGGCGAGCATCTATCTAAAAAGCTATAACTGAAACTACTGATATTTTATATATGCATTTTACCTGATGATAAGTATTACTTGCTAAACTATAATTATATGAAATGATGTATAAATATTACACCATGATAACTCATAAAAGCACTTGATGTGGATCTAATTATTATAGGATAACTTAGTATAAATGTTATACCATGATAATACCATAAAATGAAACAATAATCATTTGAATTCATCAGTTATGAATAAAATACATCATGTTACCACTGCATGCAAATCATCCATAGTAATATTTTTATGACTACAACATTGCTTCTAATTTTCAGATTACAAAATTATGATTTGACCTTTTGCACCTTCTCAAATAGAGTACTCCAAAAATTAGGTTGACAGCATTTATGCTTTTATTCTTACTCATAGAGACTGAACCCAAACTTTTCTTTGATGGCTGAAGCAATACAATGGCAGTTTTGCTTTAACAGACCATGGGTAACTGACACAGTTATCAAATTTCCATTGCAACCATATGCGAAAACCTACTTTTTGGCATTGCTCAACAATGAATGCTGATAATTTGATGAAACATGGTGGCAAGCTAGTGTGCGATGGAGTCTAAGACAAGGTTTCCTAATTTTACATCTACAATGATTTTTCTACCCATGATAGCATTTTCAGGTTGGTGACA